TCCGAATGACATTCCAATGTTAAAAATGCATATTATATTAGATTAATGAGTGAGTCAATGTCGCATTCTCTCTTGGCATACAGTTTGACATCATCTATATAAAGAAGACGCTAAGGCTGATAATTCCGTTCTTGTATTCATTTCTTGTTCTGGCTGGGAGGATTTAGAGACACGCAGAATACTTCATCACCTTTATATATGCCGCACTTAGAAGCCATTTGTGCGCGTTTTGAATTTCAGTTTCCCACAACAATATGAGACCTCTCATATTTGATTAAAGGCAAGAATATTTTCGTCTTATATGCCAGACGCTGGTAAAGACTTCTAAAAACTTTTTTTATTTTATTCTATCGGGAAAGACTAAGCTTGAACGACTTGGATCAACTCATATCAAAAATAGAATTGCGCAACTGCAGCTATAAATGCATTCTTTCATCTGGTGAGATTTCTATGGGAACGAAGAAATCATCAAAACGAAACGAAAGTTTGCTTCTAATTTCAGTGCTCATCTTCATTCCTGTCGTATTCTTACATATTCTTTTCCGCATATGACAGGACACATCTCGCTAAGCCCTATAATGAATGATTTCGAGGAGGTCCAACCTAGATTAGTGAAATCAGAAGAAATCTTGAGCACACAGATGGACCAGTAATATATGGGCTTAAATGGTGGGAAGAACTTGTAGCTTTCGCTATTTTCAGACATGGCGTTGGGTTAAACAACTTAAAAATACATTATTCTTGTCGCTAGTGAAGCCAGCATAATTAGTAATGTTGCGGATGGTTAGAAGAAGAAAGAATAATAATTATGGCAGTAGTATTGATAAATAAAATAAATAAAAATATTTCCAGTAATAATAATATAACAATAACAATATTAATAATAATGATAATTATTATAATTGGTTATCGGAAGCAACTGTCCAACTGTCTGAAAACGCTACACACTACATCCGAACGCCGGAAAGACATGAGATCCTGACTATCGGGTGCTTCGAAGGATTATAAAGATAGCAGCACGGCGGGACAGAAATCGTTATTGGAATGATATAGCCTTGAGAAATGGAGATGGCGGCTCGATTAGGCGATAATGGGAAACTGTTTCGCCTTCTCCGCAAAAACTCGAGAAAGGGTCAGTGAAATGATATGGGATATTAATGGGGCGTCTGTTAAGGCTATTAAGGATCGTCTCATAAGATGGAAAGTATTCTTTGAGACCAAATTTAATTATGAAGCATCATCTGTTGCCCCTAATATAGCTGATACGTTTGCCGAACCATACGCTTGCAACTGCCAGCCTCCGACAGAAGAAGAAGTAATTTCCATAAGCTTAAGGCCAATAAGACTCCAGGAGAAGATGGTCTTCGGACTGAGCTTTTTAAATGTTGTCCATCGTTCTTCATAACGAATCAAGCGAATCGAAGGCAGCTGCAAAATCGGTGAAGCAAGTGACAATGACAGAAGGCCAAACTTTTTTGAGGCCAAACTTAACCACGATGCGCTATCTGTTATCCCGGTTATAAATGATTCGCCCATCAAGCCTTACGGTTTGCAATTGTAATGCCAGCAGAAAAGGAAATAATTTCTATAATTCATAAACTTAAGACCAATAAAACTCCTGGGAAAGATGGTATGGTCTTCGGGCCAAAGCCTTCAAATGTTGTCTATCATCGTTCATAAATAATTTTCGCTAATGATTGACCAGTAATCTCCTAATCTTTCACCGATTCATAGTTGTTTTATGAAGAAAGCGGAATAGTTTCTTATTGTCGCCTAATCGGGCCGCCATCTCCATTTCTCAAGGCTATATCATTCCAATAACGATTTCTGTCACGCCGTGCTGCTGTTGTTGTAATCCTTCGAAGCACCCGATAGTCAGGATCTCATGTCTTTTTTCGGGCGTTCGGGTGTAGCTTTTTCAGACAGTTGGACAGTTGCTTCCGATAACCAATTATAATAATTATCATTATTATTAATATTGTTATTGTTTTATTATTATTACTGGAAATATTTTTATTTATTTTATTTATCATTATTACTACCATAATTATTATTCTTTGTTCTTCTAACCATCCGCAACATTACTAATTATGCTGGTTTCACTAGCGACAAGAATAATGCATTTTTAGTTACTTCACCCAACGCCATATCTGAAAGTAGCGAAAGTTACAAGTTCTTCCTACCGTTTAAGCCCATATATTACTGGTCCATCTGTGTGCTCAAGATTTCTTCTGATTTCACTAGTCTAGGTTGGTCCTTCTCGATTTCGAAATTATTTATCATAGGGCTTAGCGAGATATCTATCATCAGTTAACACTCTAGATTTTCTAATAATTTTTAAATATCTCTAACCAAGTTAAGCTTACTGAGGGAGCCTTAGCAGAGCGAGTGAATGTTAACTCTATGCAGTCTCCTGGGAATAGAACAAATATAAAATTTTTTTGTATTATTTATTTATTTGAAATATTTAAGCCATACTTTTATTTTTATTTATTCAAAGTTTCAAAAATATAATTACATTAAGCAGAATTGCTAATATGGGAAAAAAAAACATTTTTCTTCATTTAATAGTGTTCATCGTTTTACTAGTTTTATTGGCTATTATGATAAGCCAGAGAATCAATAGAAGTGATGGACCATCCTTTAATGGCTTGGTCATCTTAAGTGATAAGTGATAAAAACTTAACCTATGATAGTTTTGGTCAAAGCAACATTCCAAAAACTTTTCAAAGAAAACTCACTTTTTTTGTGCTTTTAATTATGTCTTATTATCATATAATTCGATAATACGACGAGTCGCATGTTCAGAGTCATGGAGAAAACAGGACCAGCAAATTGGTGCATCTTCCCCTTTACCTTTTCCTCCTCTCCTATGCGCGTTCTAATCGCCGCACTATTCAGTTGCCGACCATAATTATGCATCCGCTGATCGTCTGAACATAGTATTACCATTAAATGTATTAATTCAAATATAATTATGAAGCTGCTATTAATGAAATTTAATCTTGAGGCGATTGTAGGATTTTAATATTTTATGACAATTCTTCTGTGACAATTGAATTTTGTTGATTAAACATGTGGGGATAATGGGTAGGGTTGAGGATTGAAAGTTGTGGGCATTGTGAAAATATTTCCAACGAAGTGTTTCGGAATCTTTTAATGAATTGACTCTTTGAGTAGCCGCTTTCCATACTTTTGATTCCTTCGTGATTTGTGGTACCACAGGTTTTGTAATTTATGTTTCATTTTTTGACTTGTTTGTATAAGTAGAAGTAAATAAGTGAAAAATGGTATGAACAAATAGGTGATTAAGCTTGTTATCAGTGCGAAAATTCTTGCCAAGGAGTCACTTGCCGATACAAATGGGTCACGAATACATTAGGAACAAATATTAAAATTGCAAACAAGTGAAATGATAAGCTGTAATTAAGTATGAATGATAAATTTTTGTACTCCTTATCAGTTATAAAAAATAGTTAATCAATTTGGGACAAGAGAGATGAAGAAATTCAGATTTTTTAGTATATTTTTTAATATAATGAATATTTTTAATTAATAAATTTATATATTTTACAATATTTTGATAAAAATAATAAGCATGAATTGTATTTTGCTCAATAAATTTTTCAAAATTTTATTTTATGATGAAATAATTTTGCAGATTCGGTTTTTTCTTAGATCTGCCAAAACTGCCAAAGTTCTTCAATTGGTTATTTTATGAAAGTATGTATCAGTTACTTCCTTTTATTTTTATTTCATTGTATTATTATGGTTGTTTAAATCTTTAATTAAATGATGGGTAAGACAATCATTGGTACATTTCGGTCCCTCGAACAGCGCTCACTTTTTTTTCAACAATACGGTCTAATTTTACTGCAATGGCTGTAAAACTGAAATATTTCCAAGCCTCGTAGTCGGTCCATTTTTAATTTTAGTTATTGCCAAAAAATTAATCAACCTAAAAAGCCTAAATTGTTATAAAAAGTAAGGCATATTTTTATAAAAAACAAATTATTAGCATATTTAGGGCATTAGGGGAGAAAAGAAAAAAAACTGTCTTGTTTATAAGAAAAGACAGAAGATATTAATGGAATACCATAGAAGAAAGGAAAAAGAGGAAAATAGGAAATAAACGATCTTGCTCCGAAGATAACCGAAAAGGACATGGTAGTTCATAAAATAGATTTGAATTGTACACAGTTTCTTTTTTCTAAAATATTTTTATTACAAGTTTGCATTGTTTCTTTTCTCCTAAAATCCAAAAAGTAATTTATTAAAAAATTTTATTTACTTTAATATTAGTATTATTATTAATTATTAAAACAGAGTGAAAGCTATAGTTGATGTTTAAAAAAACAAATAACCTAAAAAAATTATAAATTATAAAAATTTGTTCTTTATTTCACTGTAAAGAGTTTTCTCACCTTCTTTTGCCTGCGAATCCTTCAAGACTTTTTTTACATTTTACCAGCTCTTTACCAAATCAGTTTTATCGATCGAGGTCTGAAATATCCCTCAGTATGTTCTTCATATAAAACGGATCGTTTTTTAAATTAACATGTAATATTTTGCTCTTATTATCGGTAAAAGAAATTTTACTTTTTCCAAGCCAGCTAGTTTAGATTTTATTTTTAGATTATCCGATCGCCTGTGTGAAAATAAACTATATAAACTTTACATTCATTAGCATAGGAATATATAGTAAAATCCCGAATGATTTTGATAATATCGCTGATATTTGATATTCATATCAAAAAAAGAAAATTGCAATATAACTATTACCAAATTTAACCGCTCCTAGGTTAAAATACGAATAAATATATACAATCTTTCACCTTTTATTTAGGCAGTCAAGAATTTTAAAATTCAAAAGAGATTTTTAGTAATTCTCAGGCAGTTAATAATTTTATTTTAATTTTTTTTCCAGATAGTCTTAATTTTCTCTTTTTTTTAGGAATATATTTGGAATACAGAAAAATAAGTATGAAATGTGATTTGTAATGCCAATACAATTGTCGGGTAAACCGGGTAGTCTCAAGGATCCAGCAATTGCAGCACTTTTCTCAACAAAGGATCCTGAGCAACGTTTTGATGATCTTCGCGAGATTGGTCATGGCTCATTTGGAGCCGTTTATTTTGTAAATCTCTTATTTTTTTATTTTGTCGCTATTTTCTTTGAATTTTTTGCCTAAGATTTTGTCGAAAATACTAAAAAATTTCTTGTTAATTTATCTGACGTTTTTAGTTTCTTATTTATTAAAAATAATTTTTTTAATCGGTTTTTTTTCATCCCATTAGCATTAATATTAGTATTTGTAAAAATTAATTGCTAGAAATTCTTAAAAATATTTCAAATAATTCGCGTTTCTATTTTATATTGTACTGGCTTATATTTCATCTTATGTAAGAAAGAATTTATTAAATTCTTTACAATTTACAATCTTTACAATCTTTTTTTCTTCCCAGGCCCAAGATAATGAAAGTAATGAAACCGTTGCCATTAAGAAAATGGCTTTTTCCGGGAAACAGGCTGCCGAAAAATGGTCAGACATAATAAAAGAAATTTCCTTTCTTAGAAATGTTCGTCATCGAAATATAGTTGGATATCGTGCATGCTATTTAAAAGAACAGACATGCTGGGTATTTTTTCGCTTGTTTTGTCATTCAAAATTTCGAAGCAAATTTTTTTTCATTGAAATCAAAGTTTCTATTAGGAATATTGCAAGTTATTTTTTTAAATTTAAAATTTTTAGTTAGTTATGGAATATTGCATCGGTTCGGCAGCAGATATAATTGAAGTACATAGACGTCCTTTGAGGGAATCAGAGATAGCTGCAATTATCGACCAAACGGTTTGCGGTTTAACTTATTTACATAATGAAGGACGGATTCATCGCGATATAAAAGCTGGAAATATCCTTTTAACAGATGATGGAATCGTAAAATTAGGTGATTGAGCTTATTTCAACTTTTGAATTTAATAATTGGGCTAAAAATGAAAATTTTTTTGTGGTAATATCGAATTTTTCTTGATATGATAATGCTTTTCTTAAAAGATTGTTTTTCATATAAGTTTCACGGTTTCTTTAATATGTATTCTCAGTTACATTTTCTTAATTTAGCTGATTTTGGAAGTGCGTCATTAGCTTGTCCAGCACAAAGTTTCGTTGGCACTCCATACTGGATGGCTCCGGAAGTGATCTTGGCAATGGACGAAGGTCATTATGATCAACGGGCGGATATATGGTCACTTGGCATTACGTGCATTGAACTTGGTTCCTTTTTTTTCTGTTGCATAAAATTTTGGCTATTTTTTTGAAAATTTTTGATGTTTATTATTTTTATTTAAGCTGAGAGGCGTCCACCATTATTTAATATGAATGCAATGTCTGCCCTTTATCATATTGCTCAAAATGATCCTCCTTCTTTGACACCTCTTCCTACCACTGAAAATTGTATCCGTTGGTCTCGAGACTTTTGTTCATTTGTTGATCTCTGCCTTCAGAAAGATCCTCGCAAAAGGTTGCAAACTGATAAGTGTCGTGAGGTAATTTATTTTCAATATTTTACGTTTAGTGTAAAGATCATTGTTATAAAATGAATGTTTGAGGATTTCCTTAATTATATATTTCCATCCATTTTAGCATCCATTCTTGCAAAAAAAAGGGTTAGAAGATGTAATTCCCGAACTGATTGCAAGAACGAAAGCACTTGTTAGTGATTTGGATAATTTTCAATGTCGGAAACTTCGAAAACTCATTTATCTTGATGAACAACAATCAAGCATTGCGATTGATGATACAAATGATCGACACGAAACTGTTGTTTTTTTTGGCCAGCATTTTCATTTCTTTTTAAATCAACATTTAAAACGAATAAAACATGATAACTTGCCGTTCATTAAGGAAGATGAATATCTTTATGTCGGTGGATCAACTAGTTCTCGCTCAAATTCGATCTCTTCCTTTCAATCTGGTCAGTCAGTTGGCATCACTGATAGTAGCATATTATCCGAACACTCAATTAGACGTACTCATCCAGCGATAATATCACATTTGGTTTCTACATCAGCTTCTCCTAATGAAGAATCATTGAATGAAAATCTCGAAAAGGTATAATTCTTGAATTTCTTGTATAACCGAACGTGGAAGAGATATATTATATATATCTGTAAAGAAAAAATTCTTCTAACAGCTTTCACTGTTACTGATTAGACTGGCTCTGATGCCTACATTAACATTAAGATGTCTGCTGGGTGCGACGTCGTCGCTATAGTAGAAGCCATTCCTTTTTTCATCGTTTAAGTCTATATTTTGCTGATATATATCTATATATCCTCTATATATCCTCCTGTACGTTCAAAATCTTTCTAACTATATCAGTCTAGGTCTTGACTGGTCCTCCTCGCTTTTGGCACCAACCGTCACAGGGTTTAGCAAGAAGTGAAATTTGCGTCAATTCCTGTGGTGGACGACGGAGAACCAGCGAAGCCGACGCTCTATGTTGCTATTAATACAGGTGGTAATTGAGCGAAGATGGATGAGCGATTTTATCCGCTCGACAGATCCATAAAATGTGTCTTAAAAATGAGTGGTCAAAGGCTTATAGCTTCTTAATATCTTCCACTCTTATTGGCCATGTCTAGAGATTATTTCCTCTTCTGCTGGCGTCACAAACAAACGTAAGGCTTGACGGGCAAATCAGTTGTATGCGGGACAACAGATGGTGCATCGTGGTTATGTTTGGCCTCAAAAAATTCTTTCCATTTTATGAAGCGATCCTTAATAGCCTTGACAGGCGCCCCATTTATATCCCATATCATTTCATTAACCCTTTCTCGAGTTATAGTTATTTTGCAGAGAAGACGAAACAGCTTCCTATTATCACCTATCCGAGCTGCCGTCTCCATTCTTAAGGCCATATCGCTCCAATAGCGATTTTTGATTTTCAACAGCTGTCGTTGTAATTCTTCGAAGAACTCGATAATCATGATTTCTTTCTTTATATTCGGGCTATAACAGCTTTTTCAGACAATTGGACAGTTACTTCCGGCATTAACTAGCGCACTTCCTACTAGTATACTCTAGTGTGGAAATGGCTGACTTTTGTAGGCATGTCTTTAAGTGGGACCAGTATTCATTCGCCGTTCCAGAGATATCATTGAGGTTCATTTTAGATGTTCGATACGGTTTGAAATACGCTTACTGTTTCCGGATCTTTTAATTTAGATAGTTAAAAGATCTCGGGATACGTTGTTTCTTACGATTTGTCAATTTAATACGAATCTTGACTCGAACCACAAAATCTGACTGGATTGTTGTCGAGGATATTCCACGTGACTAGATGCCAAAGCATGTATTAGTTCATGCTTTTTGGCAAAACGAAGAAAACGTTCTCCATTGTCACACTGGATCCCTGTGCCATATTTGCCAATGGTCGAATTCACTGTAACGGCATTATGACCTACGCGCGCATTCCAGTCTCCACTTATTATTGCCATCTCACCTCTCGATAGAACTGTTGTTAACAGTTGAAACTCCGCATAGAACTTATCCTTATCGGTCATGTGCGCGTAAAATTGGAGCATATACACTGATGACCGAAATAAAAATAAAGAAAAAATTATCATCAATAATGTTGAGATAACCACAATAATATGATTGGACTTTATTTTATTAAAATATCTTTTTACTTAAATAAAAAAAGTGGATTTTGCTCGTTTATCCATTTTCGAATAAAAAATTATGTCGAGTATGCGGCCTATCTTATGCTTTAGAATACAACAGTCATTTGCGTTACTGGTGAAGTTTCTTCCCTTTCGGAGCTATCTTCACGCCGAAGTGAATCCCCCTCTTCTGCAGAAACGACTGTAGCTGTACCAAATCCAACCAAGTTGCAGGAAAATTCACGTCGTAGTATTAACGTTTGTTTTTGCATTAATTTAATCAGCAATGATGCGACATTTTGTCAAAGGTTAAAGAATGGAATAAGGAATATTCAGCATGAAATGGCGACGCTTCGACGTTCGAAATTTTCAACGCTTCGTACGACAAAATTGATTTCTAAAGAAATGGAAGAATATAATCGAGAGAATAATCTTTACGAACAAATGAGTGGTTACAAACGATTACGACAACAACATCAAAAAGAACTTAAGCAGGTTATTTCATTAAATATCATTTGTCATTAATATTGTTCCAATATTATTGAGGTTTCTTAGTTCAACCTTTTTCTTCACTTCGAACTTTTCAAATATTTGTCCTATATATTCTTAAATAAAATTTGCAGTTAGAAGAAAAATGTTTGTTAGAAATAGAAGCATTCAAACAAAAAACGGATAAAGAATATGAACAGCTTTTAAATACATTTGGCAAAGAACTTCAAAGAGTGCGTACCAGTCAGCATGTTGAAAAAGAAAAAAAGGTTTTTATTACAATTCCTCTGAAAAATTAGATTTCCATCCTATTTTGTTATGATTTTTATTTTATATTAGAGATAAAATGGTTTTTAACTACATTTTAAACGTTTTATTTTAAACGTTTTATATGATTCAGTTTACCAAAAAATCGCATTTATCGCTTTATCTAAATCTTTAATTAATAATCACGTTTTTTCAAAAGAAAAAAATAGTATAACCCTAGATGCGTGAATATGATGAAGCTGAACGAAAGTTACGGAAGCAGATTAATACACAACAGGAGAATGAATTCAAAGCTTTTGCAAATGCTCAGAAGAAGGAATATAAACACAACAAAGAAAAAGCAAAAATTGTAAGTTATTGTTTTATTTTATCATTATTGTTATTATTTATTTCATAGTTGGGCAAAAATGGAAACTTAATTTGCAGCTTTACTCTTTATCCATTAGCTTTTATCGTTTTAACCATATTTTCTCCTTATTTTTTATTGGAGTTGAAAATTTATTTTTGCTATTAATGTGGTTTGGATCATAAATTCCGAATCTTTTTTAGCCAATCGTCCTTTTTTTTAGGATTTCCTTTCTGTATCACTTCCCTTCGCTTAGCTTAAAATGTTTTTAGTAAAGTTAGACTAATACTAAAAATTGTTGATATTAAAATTCTTATATTCTGCTTCTAACAGTTTTTATTATTACTGGTTAGGCTGGCTCCAATGGCTACAAGAGTAAGATGTTTCTGAGCTGAGCGATCTGATGCCATCATCGATAGTAATAGAAGTTATTCCTTTTTCTTATTCCTTTTTCTATCTCTAAATCCATATATTACTGGTCCACCTATATATTCAAAATCTTTTCTGACCGTATCAGTCCAGGTCTTGATTGTTCCACTTCGCTTTTGACATCACTCATCACAAGGTTTAGTATATAACAAAATATATATCAGTTCTTGTGGTGGGCGACGAAGAACATGTCCTGACCAGCGGAAGCAACACTCTATGATGGTATTGTTAATGCAAGTGGTGTTTGAACGAAGGTGGATGAGACCATGTGAAATTTATCCACCCGCAAACTCGTAAAATTTAGACATAAGTGATTAAAGGCAAATAACTTCCTA